TAGTCACAGCATTTTATTTTAGCCATTTTTAAAAATCTACAGCCACAAACCAGTTTGTTTTTTCTTTATTGTGCTTTGTCACATCAGTGGTGATGTAGAAGAAATCCTACAACAGATGTACCGCTGACGAATTCCAGGCTCGTATGAAAAAAGTATAGTCGTATAGTCGTCGTTTTTTTCCCGATGTTATTTGACCATTTTGCCTAATCTTTGCTGGTCTTTAGACCCCGGTGGAAACGTAGACTGAAGGAGCCTTTTAGTTCCATGAAAAGTTGTTCCTGGGAATATAAGTTCTGGGTATAAACATGGCCTAAAACAATGTAAGGTGCACTATTATTATTTACTGAAGTAAACTTGTGTGCTGCACTTTGGGTCAAATGTTATTTAAGTTTATTACTTTTAATTTTTTTTTTTTAGTTCTTCAAAAGTATTAAGTATTTTTGATTTTTGTGTTAAAAACATTGCCCTGCCAATTAAGTAAAAGTTGCTGCTGACAATGAACAATAAGGGGTTTCAATGAGATCATGGTCAGGGGTGCTGCTACATATTCTGGGCCCCCTGAAAACAAGTCTTTCACGGGTCCATGTCCAGCTGTGGGCCCCTGAATCATTCAGCCACACACCCACTTGCATCATCTGCACAGCATGGAGCAGGGTTATATTGGATGACCTGAGTCTGTGGTCAGCTTCATTCCTGTGTCGATGTCAGTGTCTGTAACACTGTGGAACAGAGTGCCTGTAGTGACAGTGAGAGCTCATATTGATCATTTCAGAAACTGTACAGTCTTGTTAGTATCTGCTCTCCTTTGTTCTCTCTGTCTCCTATTTCTGCTCCTCTCTGTGGCTGATAGAAGCCTACTGATCCAGAGCTCTGTGTATGTATGCGTGTGTGTCCACAGCCAGTGTTCACTACTGCCTCTGGTTGCTATAGCAACAGACTCACCAGACACTGAGTTTCCCCATTCCTATTATGTGTATGTATTTCTTGACTGAATTTGGTGTGTGTGTGTGTGTGTGTGTGTGTGTGTGTGTGTGTGTGTGTGTGTGTGTGTGTGTGTGTGTGTGTGTGTGTGTGTGTGTGTGTGTGTGTGTGTGTGTGTGTGTGTGTGTGTGTGTGTGTGTGCAGACTACATCATAATGCTCTGGTTGTATCAGGGTTATTAATGTGCTTGTTCATAGTAATCATTGCATGCAGACAGATCACACAGCGGGACAGAATCTACAGTTCTGTTCTTCACTTTATTGCTTTCCTAATCCTGCATGAGTACTGTATGTTCAGTCAACATGCAGATGAATACATGAGTGGGCAGTAGAAACAAATACACTGCAACACACACACAGACAGACACATGTATTTAAACCACTTGCTCTGCGTGTGTGCTGTGTTTTTTTCATTTATCAGAAAGCTAAGACACAGGCTAAGGTTTGTATACATTGATAGCTTCAAAGGATCAAAAATTGTTATATAGCTGCTACTCCAGTGTACACACACACACACACACACACACACACACACACGCATACACACAAATACATACACATACGAGCTGATTGGCACAACAGGTTTGTCAGGAATATCTCACTCTCCCTGTCATCACACCCAAGATACTACACCCCAAATTGCTCCCGATGCTGTGCCATCAGTGTGTGAATGTGACATGTAGAGTCAAGTGCTTTGAGTGGTCAGAAGACTATAGGAGCTATACAAGTGCAGTCCATTTACCATTTAACCATATCGTCTAGCCTTAAAGTAGCTAAAATCAATGTTTCCTAACTTAACTTCTTTTTCTCAACACTTTCATAGAGTTGTCAGTGGCAGCAGACTGCTGTTTTTCCTGAAAAAACCCATAGTTTACTACCTGCTCAGCACCAAACAGCAGACAGACACAGTTAGACTAGCTGGTGAACATAGTGGAGCATTTAGCAGCTAAAGAGACAGATATTATTCCTAAGAGTTTGTGGAGACCAAAAACAGAGCTAAAAGAAAGTGAATATTGGATTTACACTCATTAGGTGGCCACTTCAAATGAATGCTAGTGATGTGTTGACACCTTGTTTTCCACTGCTCCCAAATGGCTAAAAATTCTGTTATTTCAGGTTTCACAACATATTTTAGTATTACTCAGATTCAGTATCATTGTCAGATCATCACTGTGACTCATTAAACTACTGACCTGTCTTCAATCAATTGTAAAAGGCTCAAACCCATAACATTGTTTATTGTCCACAATTATTACTTTGAACTAAGCATGAATTGGTTTTCTTTTGCTAACATAAATAGTCCACCCACAAAGTATCAACTGTTCTTTTGCTCTTTATCTCCTAACTTCTTTTACTGTCTTTATTTTTTGTGTCACACTCTGTGACAGTAATATTTTGATGACCGTAACACTGACTCATCAACTGGGTTTGGCCTTGGCCCAGCAGGCAACACTTGGTGTTAGACTGAGTTTTATTGGCTGGGCTGAGCATCATGTGAAAATGTACATATGCATGAGTGCCTGTATTTGTGTGCATCCTTTTAATTTATGGTAGTAATCCTAGTTAGACTATTAAAATTGAACACACACACAACATAGTTTTGTGTGACAGGAGACACAAGGACAGAGGGTTTTGTATGGTGTACAGATTGTAAAGGCCCCCTGAAGCTTATTGTGATTTGTGATTTTGGGCTATATAAGTAAAATTGACCTGCACAGAGAATTGAAAGAAAAAATGTCTTGCTCTAATTCTGTAGCACATTTTCCTAAACATGTTCATTTCAACAATGACAGACCCAATGTGTTATTCAGTGCATATCTGGCAGCTGAAGATGGAACCGTAGTACCACCCAGGGTCACACTAGGTGAGAAGGCAACTTAGCAGGATGATACATTAGTCACATTGCTAACAGTAATACAGGACAGCTGCTGCTGGAGGGCTCAATGGAAAATGAGAGTAAACTGGTTTCCCTATTGGGGAATCGGTTGTAGTGATGACTAATGCTGAAAACAGGAACAGGAAGTGAATAATTAGCTGTCCACATTATTGATGTATTGTTTTATTTATTTAGGAGTTTGAAAACCTACTGATCCGATTCTTTGTTGGAGAAGCAAGATGGCCACTGGTGAATTTCTTTCATGCAATTATTTTATATTCTGATTGTTTAAGGGAATATACAGTGTTGGTTAAAATCTGTGGGAACTGTTCTTTTATTTTCTATTTTAAATCTAAGCCTCAGTCAGAGCCAATAAAGACACAGAGACACTTTGGGTTGGTGGCTCGAAGAGGTGATAGTTGAGTCAGATGCTTTGGAACTACAATCTACAATCAGCTATCTTTCTTGGCTCAGATTGGTTGCTTTCATTCAGGCTACCTACTGCAGTTTTAAAGGCGAGCTTCATGTTCCAGCTCTTCAGGTCTGCTACTAGTGTTAATGGAGATGGATTCTTGTGAATGCAATTAGGAGCACAAGGAGGAGCCAGAGAAAAATGATTTTTTTTTTGCAGATTATCTGTCTCAGTGCTACTGTCAGGAAAGTTTCAGCAAATATGAAAAAAATTATTTAATTGATTGAAGCACTGCTTAGGCTCTGGTCAGTAATGGTTACAGAGAGTACATGTATTTTATTAATTCATGTTGTTAGTAAGTGAAATGGAGATGAGGTGTGGTTAACCTTTGTTGTCTGAAGTGAATAAGGGATGAGAGGATGGATAGAGGATGGTTGAGCATGTGAGAGCAATGGATTAGATCATATGAGGATGCAGGGAGCAGTATCCTGGAATGACTGCTACTGAGACAACTGAAATGGACAGAGATCAATATTCAATGGATACAGTGGTGCAGTGAGAGTGAGATGGGTAAACTGACAGAATAGAAGGATAAATGGAGGTAGAAATAAATGGATAGTTTGCAGTAACAGTAAACAAAGGAGGACAGACTGAGGTAGCTGATCACTCAGTTGACTGCAGTGGTGCATTATGGGAGGGTGAGATTCACTCGTTGATCAGACTTCCCCTCTGCCTATGGTAGGGAAGTGGGGGAGGGGCAGGTTATATAGCAGGAGAAATGAGGGAACAGAAGATCAGACAGAGGAGGGAGTGATGAGGAGATGAAGAGAGAAAGGTGGCTAATGTACCCCACACACACACACACACACACACACACACACACACACACACACACACACACACACACACACACACACGGGATTATATGTATCCAGTAAATAGAAAGGCTTCTGTGACTCGCAGCCCTGAAATGTTAGAATACTTTTACATTAGTGCTGACTCTGTGATCAAACTGAATTTTATATTAGCTGCTGTTGCTTCACTCATACGTTTTTTTCCTAATTAATATGCATTCAGAACTGTATTGCATATATCAAGTACCTGTGAGTGTTTTAAACTATGTGGTTGTATGTACAGTGTCTGTGTCAGTCAGTATATGTGTTATATGTGCATACACCTCTGTACACTTTGATTTTCATACACACACAAATATATATGATTATATTCATGATACTTTATGAATATAGATCACAGAATTTTCTTTTATTATGTCGTTTGACAATCATTTAGAATGCGGACGTTCAGCTGGCTCTGGCTAACATTATACTACCAGAAAATCGCTCTTCTTTGCCACTCTAAAACTGTAGTTACCAGTGCCCAGTGGCAGCACAGTGCACATGACCCTCCTTGGTTAAATTGGTTAGAGTGAGAAGGACAGGATGCTGCTGGGAAGTAGCAGGTCCCGTTTGCAGGGTGGTATAGGATTGATCCCACATTTTAGACAGTTTTAGGCAGTATTGGAGGCATTTCCGAGAGTATCAGAACAACTCTAGCATGATTTATCTACTTTATCAAATTGTTGATCTTCTCCTTCATCATCTGCCTCCTTCTTCTTTTACACCTCCTCCACGGGTGTTTAATGTTTTAATGTGCGTCCTGGTGTTAAAAGGGTCTATATTATAGTCCCAACAGGCAGATCTAATCCCAGTCTCTCCCTCTGTGTGCTGTGCAGGTATATGTGGAGTTTGATGACCAGGAGTGGGAGAAAAGAGAGTGGGTGAAGGTCTATGAGGATTTCCAGCTGTTTCTACTGGAGCACCAGCTGGTCTGGGCCAAGAGGAAGGAGGGAGCAGGAGGAGCAGGTGGAGGAGCAGGAGGCCTGCTGCAAGGAACCAAGGCCAAACACATACAGTGGCCTGCCCTGGTAAGACCTTTGTTTTCTATTTATAGACAGGACACAATAATGGGCATATGAACCTGCTACCTATGTCTTCACACATTCACCACTGTGTTTGTCACAAAGTGTTATATTCTCTTTATCCTCACTGTGTTGTTACATTTCTTTGTCTTTGTGGCCTTGGATATTAGCGGTTACTGAGTGGCAGCCCTGCCACAGTTACCAACTCTGTCGTGGTCTCAGTTTTGTTGCGCTTGTCTCACAGAGAGTTTTTTACAATTCTGAGGATTCTTGACTCCTTTAGTCTGTGTTTACTAGCTGCGTTGGACTGTATCTGTTGAGTTTCCGACAGCCACAACACTTTTGTCCTCGTGATGAGGGAGTTTTTTTGTTACATTGTCACGCTTTTACTATTCTTCTCCTTCCCACATCAGTTAATCATGTTGTTTTGTGTCTAATTCCTATGCAGCATGTTTTGCCTGAACTAGCCTGTTTCCACTGTAGGAACATTTCTTGGATCCCAATAACCATTCAGTAAACTTTGTTACCTTACCTAGATTTCTACTAGAAGAACCTGTGTCCGGTTTTAATTTTAAGGATGTCTTAAGGATACCATAAGGATTTCCCTTCGATCTCTAAGAGTTTGCCCTTAGTGACTCAAGTATTCCCCTTATGTGTTGCTAGAAAGGCCTTATTAATCATTTTCCTCAGACAATTTTAAGGTACTCATACCGGTTTCTTAAAGTGAAAAATCTTTGGAACATAAGACCATTGCTGAATTTATGATAATTGAAGAGGAGGAGGAGATGCCAAGACGCATTGTATGGAATAGGAAAAACCTGCACTATGAGCAATGTGCAACTTCCCTAACCTAACATAACCCTATCTCATATATTAACGTTATTATCGTGTAATCGATTTGTTTGTCATTTACTGTCGAAGCTGGCTATCTTCTTTTTTGCTGTCACAGTATGTTCATATTTCGTCATTACTTGATCTACGGTTCATTTGACAGCAGGATTTCTCACATCGACTTTGTCAGTTACATCTTCTGCTTGTGCTTATTTGTAATGGATGGGTTAAATTTGCCTAGGATTATGTGCTTGTGCTTTCCATATTTTTTGAGGAGAACTACATTTTCTCCTGCTGCGTAGTTTGGCTTTCTTGTTCTTTTTTGTATTCTCTTGTTGTCCATTTTGGAGCACTGGAACACTGACAATAACGTTGTCAATTAACATTAAAAGAAGAGGTAGAAGAAGAAGTATGTGTTTTACCATGACAGCCTTAGACTTAACACTTGAACCCCTCAGCTAAGGGAAATAATTTATATAAAGGACAAACTTAAGTTTGAAACTTAAAGGACCAGTGTGTGAGATTTAGTGACATCTAGTGGTGAAGATTCAGATTGCAATTGTAGCATCTGTATTTGACAACCTGGGAATAAGAATAGGCTGTAAAGAGAATAGGAGAAACTATGGTGACCCTGAAACTAAAAAAGGCAAGATGGCCTATCTACAGCCAGTGTTTGGTTTGTGTTTGGTTTGTGTTTGGTTTTGCCCCCTAAATGTTACTAACTGGACATTTTAAGGTAGTTTATGCATCCAGACACAATCTATGTGGACTGGAGACTGAAGTCCATGCTCTAGGGCTAGTGCGTGCTGATGGCCCAGGACCTATTGAGTATGTTGCTGCAGCTTGTGTTCAGCCTCATTTACAGAGTCAACATAACAGGTGTCACCACAAAAATAGATATTTGATAGATAGATATTCGTTTATTTGTCCCACAATGGGGAAATTCCAAGAGAAAAACGCTCAACTTGAGCGAGAGGTGCTGCTACTGCAGCCACTCTGGCACACGCGCAAAACAATCACAATTATGACAAAAGGTGGACATCTCGTGTAATGTTTATGGCCATAAAAAGCGATTAAATGTGATTACACTTCCTGAGTAGTCTAAAAGCCTGAGATAAAGAGAGGAGACTGTATTAAACGAGAGAGGGCACCAATCGAGAGAACAAAGCAATTGAAATGAAACTTAATCTTCCTCTGTTTCATCCTGGTTACACACCAAAGCAGTAACGCATTAAACATTTATCAACTATCTGTGACACTATATAGAACACTTTATGCTAAGAACAACCACGAATGAAACCACCTCTCAAACAACGCTGTGATTCTGTCAGTCTGATCAGTCTAATTTTATCTTCAAGGTTCTTCAGATTTGGTGCAAATGCTGCCAGGAATGTTTACTGCTCTACAAAGGCTAACCACAGTAACTATGCTAATAAAACTGAGAAGAAATATTGTATTATAGGTAGAACAGCTTAGCTAATAATAAACAGATAAAGTAAGTAAGAGTGCCTGGTGGTGAACATAAAGATTCCCTTTGTTTCAATTCCCTAGGTTGATAACTTCAGCCGCAGCTCTGAGAAACCAAGAAAGAGCACAGTAACTGTTGCTTGTTTTGGTTTTTGGTAGGATTTTGTAGTTACTGACATTTTTACATTGTTGTTTCTCTAAGATAGAGCAAGACTGAACATAGAACATTTGTCACACGATTAAACACACATTTATAATATAAGTCAATTTTGACCAAAACTGTAGTTACGGTGTTTTCCCTATGAAGGGCAGTGTAGAAAGGACTAAGTTTAGTATATTTTCTTGTCAAAAAGCAGTTGAACTACTCCCAAACACACCACCAGATACAAGATATTGCTACCAGTTTGAAAAAACAATTATATTGGACACTCGGCCAAAGACAAAAAACACATTTTAAGTATAAGGGATCTGTTTTTAAGTTTATGTGTCTGATAGTGGTGGTTCTCTGTTCTCTGCGTGTGCGTGCGTGTGCGTGCGCGTGCGTGCGTGTGCGTGCGTGTGCGTGCGTGCGAGTGTGTGCGAGTGTGTGCGCGCACTACTACTATCAGTGAACACATCAGCACTCTGATGCTGAGTCTGCTCTGTGTCTTTGTCATCAAACACACATACTTTGGTGTGGTGACAGTGTGGTTGTTGTGGTGTTTTTGTTGTTGTCTGTATGTCATACTATTCCTCATACACACACACTGTATCATACACTCTTCAGATGACAGTGGTATGTGAACGCACGCCTAAATGTTGTGTCTGTCCTCGACTGAAGGATTTGGTTCATAAATGTTTGACATTGATGGCATTTAGTTTTGGACTGTGTGTATGTTTTGCTGTGTGTGTGTGTGTGTGCGTTCGCGTGTTGCTGCAAGTGTGTGCATGATAATGTGATTCACTGTTTTGATTATGTAATAGCAGAGAGCACAGCGCCATCTGGCACATGCATGGGAGATAAGAGTTCAAAGACTTCCACACACAGTTTTTTCCTGCTTGTTTTTCTCTCTGTCTGACTCCTCCTGTTTTTTTCACTTGTTCGTCACATCACTGCCTCTCTGCTGCTATTGTCATAGCAACAACATCAAAATCTAGTGCAGACACACACACACACACACACACACACACACACAGCAAAACATACACACAGTCCAAAACTAAAGAAGCTGTAAACGTCAAGAAGCAGTGAATCACTGTTTTTTACTTTTTTTTTCAAAAAAATGCATTCAATTTTAATTAACAATGAATTTATATTAAATGAATTCCAAGCAGAGTATCTGAGAAGCATTTTTTTCCTTTTTGGTATTTTTTATTGTTGCAGCATTCAATCAGTCAATTACATCAAACGACGATCTAGAGGAAATGGCTTCCTACACATAATCACTAGATATTAAAGATGCAATAAATAATGTTTATTAAAAAAAAAAAAAACAACAAAAACCTTTTTGTCATATTTGCAGAAATGTTCACTTTGTCCCTACAGTAGTGTATGAGACAGATAATCTGTGAAACAATCAGGTTCCTCTGGCTCGGTCTTGCGCCTCTAATAGCATTTGCAAGAATCATCCGGAGTACAAAAACAGCGAATCAGAGCAGAGAAATATATAAAACACTTTGGGTTGGTGGCTTGAAGATAGTTGACTGTTGTCTCATTCCCTGGATCCCAAAGTGTCTGTATTTGAAGTCCTGGGAATGAGACCCAACAATCAGCTATTTTTCTTGGCTCCAATCGGTTGCTTTCGTTCTACTGCAGCTTTAAAGTTGAGGTTCTAGCTCTTCAGGTTGGCTACTAGTGTTATTGGGAATTTTAGAACATTTGGTTTGGCATACAACCCTGAATTTGAACATTGTTCATTATTATTATTATTATTGACAAACAGAAACCTCCACAGTCAGATAAACAGATTAGTCCTCATACAGGCAGACCCAGCAGACTGCCTGTCTGGTTATTACTTTGTTACAGAACTAAACCCAGATGAGAAGAAGAAGGACAGATAGTAGTAATTGAACATTTTGTTGGGCTATAGAAAATCAACCCACAGCACCCACCACAGTGAACACTTTCTGGTGGGCTGAGGACCATTGGTCTACTGTTACACTTTGATCAGCCAATGGGCTCTCCATATGCATGTCCTCATCTCACAGGCTCTCCGGACAGCAGGTACTCAATATCTTACCCACTAACTTACCGCCCATTCAAATAGAAGTAAACCCATCCAGACAACTGCAATATGATTCATGATTAGTGGGAATGATAATTCGCATCACGTTTAAGTTTTAATAAAAAAAGTGTGTGTGTGTGTGTGTGTGTGTGTGTGTGTGTGTGTGTGTGTGTGTGTGTGTGTGTGTGTGTGTGTGTGTGTGTGTGTGTGTGTGTGTGTGTGTGTGTGTGTGTGTGTGTGTGTGTGTGTGTGTGCGTTTGCGTTTTAAGGCTGCAATGTCATTTATCTCCCCTGTAGGATAATCTTGGCTCTGTTTGCAATTGGAAACTGCCCATTTCATCAGGCACACACACATAGATGTTGTGACCTTTTCCCTTTCAAACTACAGTCATCTGTTAAAGTATGTCAGTGAAGCTGTGTGTTTGTGCATGCGTGTGCAGCTGTCCTCTGTGCTGATGCGGGCTTCTTTTAATAGAGAGAGAGGATTGGTCAATGAGAAGTGTT